TCAGGTGCACTCCAGTCTGACTGTTAAACACTAGACAAGCACCTGGAAAACAACAACTTGTCGCAGTCGCAGTCGTCTCTGTAGTCAAACAATGTACGTAGATATATAAACTAAAAATAAACATGGCACAAACTGTCAACCGGCTTTAATCAATATTTTGCCATTGCTCACCCTCGCAACAACAATAACAATAGCAATATCAGGTTCACTCTCTTACGATAACTAATTAGAAAGTTTTCCTAACCAACAAGGTAAAAATCGAAAAGCCAATCATTGCAGAAACCAAAAAAAATACAAGAAAAAGGCAAAAGATTGTTGAGTGAAATGTTGGCCAAGTCACTTGACCAAAAGTCGAGTATCTCTGTCTCCTTTCTCCTTACTTATACCCATCTCTTTTACACTTGGCTTAAGCCCATCCAGGCGTTACAAATCATCGACTGCAACTGATCGTTTACCATTTTGACATATCGATATGCGTACTACTATATGCTTGAGATATATCCAACTGACTTGGCGCCCTTTCTCTTTTTTATAAGCTATACATATATATATTGCTATATATATGTTCCGTATATAAATGTATGATTCTTCACTGGCACGCAACATCGATCAATGATAAGACAGTTTGTGAGTTATGAATTGAATTTGTTATTCGATTTTCAGCGGGTGGGCAGACTCCGAGATCCCAGTGGGGCGTGGCTGGCATTTCGTGGGGCGTATAGATTGATTGCCTAAATAATAATTGAATGGGAAATTATTGGCAGTCTCTCAAGCAACAGAACAGCGAGATCCATTTTCAGATAAAAGAGGCAATTTGAAGAATTTCAATTATTTTAGTGGAGTCTTTCCTTATCTTGTTCAAATGTTTGTTAGATGTTTGTTAAAGAAAATGAATCAATGAGATAAAAAAAGTAAATAATTAATCAATGAGTACAAAACATTTTAAACTTCATGGACAGGTTACGCAGTAATATTAGTATAACCTAATCATTAAATTTAAGATATTTCTTCTTTCTCATTTATTTACATCTTTATAAAGCAAATTAAAGTGTGTTTTAAAAAAAAAAAAAGTTCAATATTCTTAAAGCTATAGTAAAAGCTTTTAATTTCTCATTAAATTAACCTTGAAAGTCTCCCAACAACCTGTTCCAATTCCTTAAAAACCACAAAACTCCCCCATAATTCCAGCTAAGTTCACATACCTCCTTCATTACGGGTTTCCCCTCCTCCATTTCTCCTACAAAATCCAATCAGGCAATAAACAAATGGAAACCCATTAACCAAAAAAAAAGAGCAAAATGGCCAGAATAACAAATTGCAAACTGTAGTTGGAGTAATTTTTTATGGGCGTGCGCATTTTTTCACTCCCTCGTACGTGTGACTCGGCTTGAACTTGCATTTGTGTGCGCTCTAGATCCAAAACTAAGTGATTCAAAAGATAAAAAAGAGAAAAAAAAATACAAACAAAAAATCAAATAAAAAACCGGCACATGTGGCCTGATGCAAATGCGCATTTTGTCGCATTCCAAGCCCAGCTGGTCGAGTTGATTCAAAGTGGCGGCTTTGCCGGTTTTCAGCCGCAGACAAACCCGCGACAGTCATAGATATGCCTAATGTCATCCAAAATCGAAATTGGATTCCGAAAACCAAGTGAATATTTTGATTAAAGGTATGCAAATTACTCTATATTTATTAATTGGAAATAATAAATATTTTCTTAATTTAAATCGACAAGTAATAGATTTTAAAATTGACTTAATGATAAAAGATTCAGGAACAATTTTTGTTGTAATTTTATGTAATATTCTGAATATTTGATTACCCAAAAATTTATATTCTTTTGACCTTTTTATTATAATTTTTTAACAAATTATATTCAACATATTATATATTTATATTTTCTATTTCTATATATATATCACATCATATGTCATATTACTATTATATCATGAAAAATACTTTAGCATACAAAAATAAATTAAATTGAGTTTCTGAATTATTAAGTAAAAAATAGATCAGATCAAAAATTAATTACCTTCTAGCATTATTTATAAGAAATATAATATACCCTGACTTTTTCCAGCCTTTGGGCTATTATAAAAACCCACACACACATTAGACTTCTCGCACAAATTGGTGCGGTTCGTATCTAAATCGAGTCTCAATTACACACGAGCAACCGTCGTTCCCCCTTTTTCCGCCGATTTTCCACCCCCTTCCCCCGTGGCGGTTGGATTCTCATTAGCTGAACGCGGGTTACGCAGAGCATTCGTCTGTGGAGCGTTGGCAACCACTGTCTATATGGAAAACCACACCCTCTAATCCCCCACAGTGCCCTCTCCATCTATCCAATGACTTTTTTCACTAGCCCCCTCAGAACTCAACCGACTTTGCCTTTGGATGATCATTAAATGCTTAACCAAATGAGTTAAAGCGATATATCTGTGGTTCTGAATGGGGTGTGTGCCGGCACTTTGTTGTTGCTATGCACTGGGAGAAAAAATGTTTTGATTGATTATACAACTTAGAGTCTGATATTTTAAATTTAAACTGCTTTTGAATGACTAGAAAGATTTTTTAAAAACATTTTCGTACCTTTTAACTTTCAAGAATTTTGATATATTTTATTCTAGATGAAAATTTGATTATTTTTTGAAGTATTTTATAAATTAAAAATTGAAAAAAGTTTTAATTTTTTAACGTTAAAGTGCTAAAGAGCCGAAATTTAAAACAATAAAATAAAATGCTGTAATGTGCATAACTCACAAAAATATTCAAATTTTTTCAGATATAAGTATATTTTATGCACTTTTAATATTTTAAATATTTCTTTAATTGTTTAATAAAGTTTCTTTCAGTGCTTAAATATTTTTCGTTTCGTACGGGCAACAACATGTGGTCGTCTGTTTGTCTTCTTCATTTTTTTGAAGTCGGTCTTGCAGCCGAAGAAAGCATGGAAATTATTTTAGCGATGTGAAATGGGGGCACGAGTTCTGAGCTCTCCAAATGATTGCTCTCTCTCCCCCCAATGGGGTTAATTTTTGGTGCATGGGGTGGGCAGAGGATTATCTGTGGAGTTTTTTGTAATTATCTCAGAACATGTGTGGGAATAAATGAATACAGAATACATTTCGGGCTCACTTTAAAGCCCGGAAAATTGTGCTTGCCAATTATGAGGAAGAAGCTATTGTTTTGCATATTCTCTCGACATTTTGTTTCTCAGAAAGGGTGTTGGAAAATAAATGTATGGAGGTATATCTTTAGAATATTTTAACAACTAGAATAGTCAAGTAAATAGTTCTTAAAATATTTCTGTATTTATGGACAACTTTAAACTGAATAAAAAGACCACAGTTCTGTTTATAATTTTCTTTTTCTGATTTTTAAATTTAAAAGTCATAATGAAAAACACTCTTAATTCACAATCCCAAGCTTACCAATTAAAATTCCGGGTTCCATATTCGCGGTCGTAATCCTTAGTTCGCGTAATCCCAGTAGCTTTCGCAGGTTTCGTTTCGATAAAACTTAAAATCAAATGGCAAATCATAAAACTTATGTTTTTCAAGGTCGTGTCGAATAGAATTGTAAAATCTCGCTGAATCACATGGACACACAATTCGGATTATATATTTCGATTTGATTGATTTGATTCGTGGAATGACAACTGATATCGCGGCATTCCTTTTTTTTTTACCACTTTCGCACCTTTTTTTGTTTTGTTTGCCGCTTCGTTTCGTAATAATTCGCGTTAAAAAAGTGAAGGTGTGCCAAAAAATTCTACAAAAGTTGAGAAATAATGCCGAAATTTGAAGTTGACACTTGTTGTGGTTTGTTTTCTTATAAAACCTATGTGTTGTGTTTTCCCACCAAACAGAAAAACAAACAAATTACTTTTGCGCATGCGCAAAGGCGAAAATAAACAAAAGAAAGCGTGGAGGAAAGAGCGGTCGGTAGTCACGAAACTACCGTTAGGATTTTCCTCTGGCTTTAATGAGTTTTCTTGTTTGTTTGCCGGCCATTAGTAATTTTAACAAGCTGCGTTGTGTTGTTTACCTATTTGATTGTTTTATTTATTTTTTCCCACTTTTCTTTATCAATTTCTTATAAGATACCACAAATCATACAGGTGGCTCACTCTCTCACTCTTTTCGCTCTCGCTCTCTTTAAAAAACAAACACCGGTTAACAAGCGGAACGTTGGAATTGGCCGGAACAGGCGGCATTAAAAACGAAAACCAGAAATGGAACCTTTGGCAAAATGGAACAGACAACAGTTTTTGTTGTTGCTATTGTGGGTAATTTGTGAGTCAAAGAATCAAGAATGTATGTGTGAGTGTTTGTTGGAAGAAAAAAGAGTTAAAAGCACCTAAAAACTCGTTAAAAACCAAGGTAAAACCTTTGTTTCGCTACACTAAATGCAAATTCCTGCACTTGCTGTTGTTATTTCAATAAAATATATTGATAATTTTGCACTTTTAGTTCAAACAACTTGTGGCACACTCACACACACGCACGCACAAACTCTACACCTTGAACTTGCGTCAGCTTTTTTTGCTTTTCTTCATTATCTTCTCATTTTTGGTGGCCACTTTCTTTGCACTTTTCAACTAACTGGCTTGCCTTTTGGTTATTCAACTTTAAGAACACACACTTTTTACAGCCAATTAATGATTTTCCTTTGCTGCTTTTTTTCTCGGCTTAAACGCACTGTAAAAAACGAGCCATTACATATCGTTTAACCGACGCGTCTTTCCACTACGAGGTCCAAAAGCGATCTGAGCTGCAAGGCGATCATGAAAACATATAGAGACTTCGTTACCTCTCTCCCGTTCTCTCTCTCTTATTGGAACGGGCTGCAGCCCAATTGGTGAGAGAACGCCAAAGCGTGGTTTAACACGTTTCAGTTTCAAGTGGTTCAGAGAGAGTGAGTAAGAGAGGAAGAGCGTCTATTGGAATTCAATTGAAATCGAATCGGAATTAATTAAAGGGCTGAGCACAGTGGGCTCTGTTATTAGAAAAATAATTTATAAGGGTTACAATACATATTCCTTTTCTATTTCCAAGAATATTATTATATCTTATAAGTATATATCTTACTAAGTAAAGTAGGCCTTGTTATAAACTTCCCCCTCAATTTTTCTATCAAAGCCTCAACCAACACTTTTCGGTAAGAGCTGTATTCGAAATTAAGCCCCAGAAATAATATTTTCCTAACGAAGAACTTCACCAGGACTTTTGATAAAAATGTCCTTTAATCGCGTATGCAAGAATATCCTGCGGGCTATTCCGCTACAGATTCTAAAGCGTGGCAAGTCCAACTATGGAAAAACAGTGTGCAATCTGAAGATCAACAAGGAGACCAAAGTGCTAGTGCAAGGATTCACTGGAAAACAGGCCACTTTTCACTCCGAGGAATCCATTAAGTATGGGACCAATATCGTGGGCGGTGTTAATCCGAAAAAAGGGGGAACACAGCATCTAAATAAGCCCGTATTTAAATCCGTGGCTGAAGCTGTGGAGAAAGTGAAACCAGATGCCACGGTGATCTTTATACCACCTTCATCCGCTGCCGAGGGAATTTGCTCGGCCATTGAAAGTGAAATTGGATTGATTGTGGCCATAACCGAGGGTATACCTCAGTCGGATATGGTGAGGATATCTCAGATGTTGAACTGTCAGGAGAAATCCCGATTGCTGGGACCCAACTGCCCAGGACTTATCTCCCCAGATCAATGCAAGATCGGGATAATGCCGGGAGATATACACAAGCGAGGAGTGGTGGGTATAGTCTCTAGATCGGGAACCCTAACCTATGAGGCAGTGCATCAGACGACCAATGTAGGACTGGGTCAGGCCCTGTGTATTGGCCTGGGCGGAGATCCCTTCAACGGAACCAGTTTTGTAGATGTCTTAAAGGTCTTTCTGCCCGACAAGGAAATCAAGGGCATCATCATGATTGGAGAGATTGGTGGAACCGCCGAGGAGGAAGCCGCCGAATATCTCAAGGAGCACAATACGGGATGCGAGGCCAAGCCAATAGTTGCTTTTATCGCAGGTCAGACTGCTCCACCCGGTCGTCGAATGGGTCACGCTGGTGCCATCATTTCGGGCGGTAAGGGGGCGGCCAAGGACAAGGTGGCCGCCCTGAAGAAAGTCGGCGTCCGCATAACCGCAAATCCCTGTCATCTAGGATCCACGCTTCTCGAGGAAATGGTCCGCTTGAAACTTGTGCCCAAGCCACAGGCGAAGAAGGCCCAGTCGGGCAAGAAGTAGGAGGGACCGGATCTTGTGTTTGTTATTAAATAAACAAACTGATGGCTTTTAATGCAGAAATTTAATTTGTATGTATTTAGGGAACTTATAAAGACTTAACAGCTGCTAAAAACAAAATGAAAAACTGATTGATATAGGTTGGTATATCTTGGAAACTTTAATAGTTAATAAATTGGCTTAATTGCGAAGTTTAAGAACGTTTGTAATCAGATTTAAATTTACCTTTTGTCTGATATTTTGGAGGTTTTTAGTCAATAGTTATTTTCAAATATAATATGATTCTTACTTTCTTCTCTACCAAAAAAGGCTTTCCCAAATTGTTAACCTACTAAAATTTCCACCCTCGCCATGAATTCCATTAATTTTCATTTTTTTTTGTATGCTAAACTTTTGCCCGCAATGGGACTTTATCAAAAGTCTCACATATCAAAAATGTTTCGCTTTTTAAAGCCTATAACAAACAATAGATAAGCGGGAAATACCTTTGGCCATAGCCAAGACAGACGGCAGACTCACCCATTGTCTTCACGCGGAATTCTTCGTAGTTCATAAGAGGAGGGGTCTCAGCTCCTCGAACGGTCTCCAGGAAGTCTTCCTCGCTGTAAACTGAGTCGTAATCGCTGGGATCATGCATTTTATTGGTTTTTATTGGGTTTAGCTTGGATCATGAAAAATCACACACAACACTATTGCATACTCTTAGGCAACTTGGAATATTCACAGGCTATTGGTTTTATTTGAAAATCGTTTGATTTGAAAGACAAGGATAGGTGTTGCAGAATGTAAAAAGAAGTTGTCAATCACGGAAACACTTGAGTCGATCTTACGGCACCCGGAGCCACCGATAATGGATCGAGGATCGTGAACGGAGAGCACCGACAACCGCATGCGCTTCCAATTTAAACACGACTAAGGTGAGCCCAGGGGTTTTCGCCGCCGTTCTCGGCTAATCAAGAGCAAATACTACGAAGGCTATCAAAAACAACAAAACAAATCTACAGGCTGATTAGAATATCAAGTAGTATAACAAGTTGGAAGTCTTGAAAAGGGAATGTGGAATAACGGATACCCTTTAGTTTTAGTATTTTAATTATGAATAATCAAAACCATATTTAGGTTACTCTCATTTAGACAGCTAATCTGAAAAATATGTTTAAATTTGAATAATCACATATAATTTTTTAAAGGTCACAAACTAGGGTAACATTTGCTTTTTCTTTTAAATTAAACCAAAAATTATTTATTATCTCCGGCCGCCTATTATACCCCTCACAGCTCTAAGAACACTGGGTGTAAAAACATACGCTTTTGTTTGCCCTGAGAGTGCGTGCTATCTCCGCTCTCACTCTCCCTCAGCGAAAGTAATTAGGGGGAAGTTCTTAATGGCAGCGAGTGCAAGTGAGACAAAACAAATATCTTATCGCTAGTGTATAACTTGGACTCTGATAGCTTAGGACTGTCAACTGCCTGGAATTCCTTCAATTAATGAATGCATTAGAGTGATAGCCGTACATTAAAACTGTTAAAGTATAGAGTTGGAAAAAACTGATAAAATAAATAAGATCAAAACTACCCATTCCTCAAAATAGGTAATATTGATAACAAGTTGAGTGATAGAAATCATAGGAAATTAATTGGTAATAAACTTATGAATTGGTTAATAAGGGGAAAAGTAAACTTATATGAAGATAAAGGTTGTATATTTATATTTTACTAGGAAAATTCTTAAAAATGTATTATATTTCAAGATATAAAAATCCCATTCCTTTAAATAAAACCATTCTTTCTGATTTTGTTTTTAAAACAGCACACCAAAGAAATAGCATCATTGGAATGTTAAAAATTTTATTTAAATTTCTTCTCGCCATTTTCTGTATGTTTTTTTCTGCAATTCTAATTATAATGCATTTACACATAGACTCGATTTTTTTGTTTTAGTGTTTTTTTTTCATCATAAAACTCGAATTTGTCATCTGTATTTAATTCAAACTTGAAATGTTTTTTCGTTTTGGTATTGCATATAGTTTTATATAGCATTTTTTTTGTTTGATTTTTGAAGAGCAATTTGGCTCTTGTTGCTGGAGTATTTTGTTTGCTACGATTTTTAGTTCGGTAACTGATATGTTTCGTTTACTCGTTTCGTTTAAATATATTTCAACTATTTCTTGTGTATTTTGTATCTGGTGGTTTTGTTAGTTCGTAATTGGTCTAGCAAATTAAACGAAAATTTTAAATCAATTTATAAAACAAATTACCATCAAATTATACGTGATAAAGCATGTTTGGTTTTTCATTAAAAGTTTGTTGTTCGTATTGTGGAATTGTTTCAGCGTTTTAAGAGTTCAATGGGTCAGTTTTGGTATTAAAACCCTGAAACAAGTAACAATTTTTATTAATTTCAAACAATCCAACAAGAACTTAGAAAACTAAAAGCAACTTAGGTTGTAAATATAATGCAGTATCCTTCATAAAACTCTCTTTGGTGTGTTTAACCATAAATATATTTATATATAATTCTCTTAACGTTATGTAATTTTCAACTTTCTTGTCTTCATATTTGATATGTTTGTTTGTTAATTGATATGTTGCATATATTTTGTGTTTCATAGATTCTTGTGTGTTTGTAACCTTTGCAGTTTGGTTTCTCCTTTAGCAAGAGATCTGCTGATATGTTTGCGATACAAGTTCACTGGCTTATAGTTAAAAATGTCTATGTTTTTTATATTAAACTTTTGAAAAATATTCACAGAGAAAAAACGTTTTTTTTTTGTAGATTTTCAATGTTTTTTTTTAGATATTTAAATTATTTAAAATTTACAGGCGAATATGTGTTGATGGAACCCAAAAAACAAATTATCACTTTGTTGTTTTTTTTTAATTTTTCATGTTTGGTTTTCCATTTCATTTGCATCGATTATGGAATTCGTAGTTTGTATCCTTTATTTACAAGGGGCTTTCCTCACATTCTTCTTTTTATCATATACATATGTATATATATATATAGTTCAATGGATCAGTTTCTGTTCATTTTCATTCTTTTAATATTACTCTTGACTTGTTTAAATATTTATTCATAAATATATTTTAAATAGACGACTATATAGTTAAAATGATTTTGTCTTTTTTTTTGTGTTTTCCTTTTTTTTTGTTTAAATAAATAATTTTAGTTTAGTTTTGCTGTAGTTGTTGTATGATCTATCAGCTAATTCAAGGTACTTATAACTCCATTAATTTTTCGGTTTAATCTAAAGAAATTTCCTTTAACGTTGGGTTCATAATTCCTCCTCCGCTTTCTTTCTATTCATTTTAGTTACTTGTCACGCTATCTGGTCAACAATTCCGTGCTCCGTTTTGAAAAATGTTTGAATTAGAGAATCCTTAATCTATGTAGTATAGTGTAGTATTGTGTTTTGAGAGCCAGTTCCAAGCTTTGCTTAGATAATTTTCCAAATTGTTTGGGTCAGTTTTTGTTCTTTGGCAATGGGAAACTGGCCCTCAAAACCTGAGAATCTCATTTTGGTTACAATTTGCTTTTGTGTGTTTTTTTTTGTGTTCTTCTAAGAAATATATATATTTATATATATGTTGAGAATTGAGTAAAGTTGTGTGTTATATTTTCCAAATTAAGGTTAGGCTTTATAATTACTTGTTTTGAATATATAACTTGAGATTTCTCATTGATATTTCTACCACTTTTAGACACACACCGTGAATTATGCAACTCAAAACCAAAGTGATTTACTGCTGCACAGTAGCTCGACATAGTTAGTAACTATGATAACGTGTGTTTAGGTTATTAATTAATTTCATATTTGAAACATTGAAGTGGTTTTCTTCTACTGGAAACAACAATAGCTGCAGGGCTTTCGCTACATTTACTGACTACAAACTAAACGAATATTTTATAAGTTTTTCTTTGGTAGTAATTATATAATTTAATAGACGTTTATCGAAAGAAGTTAAGTGTACTAAGTTAGTACGTTAGAAAGTGGTTGGAAGGTTCTTTACTGATAGCCTCGGTTGCTGTTTTGCATACTTTGTTTGGTTGTTGTAGGGACTTTAGTGTGAATACCTTTAGTGACGGGTCTAAGAAGCCTTGAAACACTTTACATATACATCGATAAAAATTCTCAATATATCTGTATACATATATATGTTTCAGAAAAAAGGTCGTTATATAAACATTGATATATTTTCTTTTTTTTAAGTTTTTTGTTTTTTCCTTTTATATATTTTTTTTTGGATTTTGCCAAACGATCCTGCTTCCACATTTTATTTTTCTAGTACTTATGAAGTTTTCACTTTTCTGCAATGTTCTGAAATTTGCGCATAGATTTTCTCAAAATAAATATAGAGCGCGATAGAAACGCAACGCATAAAGAAAGTCTAAGAAAGAGCGCAGAAAGTTGGGAGAAAGCTTGAGATTTTCTTGAGATTTTCTCGGTAGTTAGCAGCCGATTTTGTGATCGAAATTTTGGTTGTACTTGCATATATTTCTTTATATATATTTTTTCTCTTCGCGCCTTTTATTTTTTTGTAGCTTTTTTCGTGGTCTTTTGCAATTTTTTTTAGTTTTTGATTTGCTTGATTTTTGTTTTTCTATAAAAGTGTTTGGAAAATGAAAATAAATGAACTGAAGATCCGATTAAGAAGGTTCCTTTTGGAAAGCAAAATCATACTCGAAAACAGAGTTTGAGAAAATATCTTTTGGCTGAAATGGGAGTGGAGGGTGGGTCATGTTGGTGGACGATGAGTGTAGGTACGTGTGTGTATAGATCGGTGTGTAATTCGCATTTAATAATTGTAATTATCATAGGGCGCGCCCAAATACGAATAGAAATTAGGATTGATGGGCTGTGCGTGTGCGTAATAAAATCCAGAAGCCGGATCTGGCGCTACTCAGTCAAGGAAGCCGGTGTTTACCAGCTTCTCCAAGAAGAACTTTCACATCGCCCAGCTCCGAGTCCTTAATGCCCAACGACTTTAACATGCCAAGATCTCCGTTCTCTACGGCCATGAAAACCGAGCGCAAGTGTTCCAAATCCGATCTGGAAAATAAGATGCAAAACGAAACCGAATTAGTTGGGGTTAATTTTCAACTTACTTGTGATTTATGGCAAAACTTGAATAAAGTTTTCCTTGGCAAACGACTTAAGCCACGGGCTTGGTGAGTTGGGTTTGTGTAAAAAGAGGGAGCAGCCATCTGCAGTCTCTAAATGGTATTTAGCTCGCAATAGTTCTTGGGGCTAACAAGAAAATTGCTAACCACAGTGGTAATATATTTATGACTACAGTGAAATAAAGTTAATTTTTTTATTAATATTGAAAACTTTTAAGAATAGTAAACAAATTTGAAGAATTTTGAAATCATATTTAAAAGTGATTAGAACTATGCAAGACCTATTTTTTAACCGAACCTCTTAAGTCAGATACTGTTATATTTCACTGCATACTTTTGGGCACTCTTTTGAAATAGGATTAAAATACCTGCAGCCCTTTCTGGCACTTTGCAGACCAAAAAAATAGCAAAAATATAGAAAAATAAATTTCTAAAAATTTAGATCTCCACCTAATTTTCACTTAAAGTTAACTACCTTTTAGCCCACAGTGAACTAAAATAATGAGAAAAAGCCCCTCAAACGCACTCGCCCACGGAGTGAAACCACATGGACACACACACAGGGAAAAGTTGTAGCTTTGCTGCGGTGGGTCTCAAATTATACGCTTTGCTTAATTAATCCCTGCAGGTAACGTGCGGCTGCCATTGCTGCCCTGCCATTGTTGGCTTTGTTATTGTTTTCGTGGTCGGTGTCCTGGGGTGTCCTTTGACCAAAACCGCCCCAGCTTTGCTCTTTTTCTATACCCACATATTTCGCTGCTTGTTGCGGCTGTTAGATAAACTTCATTATCATCAGCATAATTAGTAAAGTGAGTAGGAAAACCTTCGGCAAATACACCGAAAATTAAAGCTAAGTTCTTGTTTTAATGTTAGTATATAAGAAAAAATTACAAGATTATAAATAAAAGTTTGATAAATATAGAAGGCTTAACATATCGCCAGAACAAAAGTAAAAATGGTCAAACCTTGCACTCTTGAACTCGGGTTTTAACATGTATATTACCTAACATCTTAAGTGATTTAAAAGAACTTCAAGAATAAAGTTAAGTTACAGTAAGCCCTTCCTTTTAAGCCTATCAACAAGTGTTTATAATTTATTTTAACTAGTTCTTACAATTTTCTTACACTGCAGGCTGGAAGTCAAAGCAAGAGTGCAAAATACACATTAATAACATTTGTGCGTGTCTTGTGGTTCGAGTACATCCATTCAAAGCCATCGCCTCCCTTCTGCCAAAATCCTTAGATAGAGACTTGAGCTGGGTGGAGTGACATTATGACACTTGGGCGATTAATTGCCTTGATGAAATTGTGTAAATTTCCAGCAGACAAAGCCCTCTTATATTTCATCCAGCCCCCTATTTCCTCAGCTTTCCTTTTTTTTTTTTGGTGTCTTGCTAATTTATCAACATGTGCGTGAAGGCAAAAATATATTTTCGTGTCCTTTTGTCTGGCCCTTAGAACGAGGGATCCTTGTGCCTGGTTTTGCCCACATTTTTATGATTATTATTATTATTATTGCCACTCCAACTCACCTTGTGCGTCCCATTTTTGTGGTTAGTTTTTGTTGTACTAATTTAATGAAAATGTTTCTTTCATGTTCCATGTGACTCTCTCACTCCCCCACTCTGTTTATATTTGGGCATCTCCCACGTTTGTTTTCATTTTGCTTGTTTTTGTTTTTGTTAATTAAATTTTTGCTTTGTTTATCTTGGAAATTGTGGCATGAGGTTGGTAGAAGAATGAGTGCCTGTAGTATAATGCAATTAAGGCAGCTGAAAACACATGTTTGGGCCTAACAAAGCGTAATCGACAGGGTTAAAGGCCTAGAAACTTGCATTTTTAAAAGGATCAACTCTACCAACTTGGCTCTAAAGCTTTGTAGTTAAGAGTAAAGTAAAAATCTGATGATTTTTGCATTTCATAGTTCTTTTTGATATTTATTACTATATTTAAAGTCAAAAATTATCATCTACCTTCTTTCTCCTCCCCTTAAGTCACTATATAAACTCATGACCCAAAAGTTCTCTCTGGTTTTTCCCATTTCATAATGGAATTCATTAGGCAGAGACAAATATTTTGTTTGTTTAGGACAAGTCAGGCAAATATTATGAAAAAACAGAGAAGCCAAAAAGAAGCTCTTCATAAAATAAAACCAAAAAAGAGGAGAAGTATGATAAATATGAACGATATACATATTTTAAAATTTCATGACACTTCTTGTGTATGCTGTCTCGTATATATATATATGCCTGCCTTAAAGCCTGCAAATTTTATTGTGCCAGCAGCCACAAAAATAGATAAACAGAGAAAAGGGACTCGAAACCAGATGCAAGGATAATTCATGGGGCAAGGACAAGGACAAAAGCCTGGCCTCTGGACTTCCCTTCCTTGCATAGTAGTTTCTTTTGGAATAAAAGGATTCCCCACACAAAGTAAAAATAGCCCTGGGCTAAGCCAAAGTTTCTTAAAGAGCTTCCATTATTTATGTAACACAGAGGAGCTTAGAACCTGGCTAAAAATTATGTTTCATGCACGAAAAGCAGCTGAAATAATTTCGCTTTGGTAGCTTTTTCTTTGGCAGCTGAACAACCGACTAAAGCACACAAATTGCACCCAAGAGCAGTTCACTGAAGGAAAAACTATTGGGGAAATTTAAGGAAATAGGGTTGGGTATTTCGATTTAATAAGAAAGAAAAATATTGATTTTCTTTAAAGTTGAATTTGCAAAATGTGCTGAAAAGGTTCTTTAAACTTTAAATAAATATAGCAAAAGTTTGACAGGCTAACTTTTCTATAATAATAAGAATATAAAATTAAGATATATTTAATTTTCTTTCCAGTGCACAAACTCCCAAAAATGTCGAGCTGCAGTGAAAGTGGATAGTTTAGAGCCAGTGCTCCCGTACTCACCTCATTAGATGAAGGGCAGCGCCAAAGTCCTCAATAGTTTGCGACTCGCTCAAAGTGATGGCGACCTTATCCACACCGCCCAGAGGTGAAAGGGCATCACGTGCCTTGCTGCCGAAAAGTTTTTCCAAGTAATTGGGTCCGTGCGAGGCGATCAGGCTCTGGAGGAAGGATGCAGTCTCCTCGACCGGCGGCCGTTTGGCTGCAATTAATAAAGCAAACAAAAATTATTTTTATCGTTTGCAATTAAATAATGTTTTTATGGTGAAGGGTGATCCCTGGTACCACCCCGCAAAATGTAATTAATAAACCACTGAATGCCTTGATTACTATCAGCTTAATGCATTTGCATTCATAATTTATTCACATTTAAATTGATTTTGTTCATTAAGTCGACAAATATATATATTCCATTGCTGATTAATAAATGAGCGAAACATTTTTACTTACAAGTCATTAAAATTGAATTGGGCCCCACCGACAAATAAGGTATTAATTAATTTCTGTTTTCTCTTTTTTACAGACTGACAATTTCCTAGGCATTAATATTAATAGCAAACTGGCTGCCCTTCCATCATTTTCTCATTTTCCCATTCAACTTTAAACGCACGCGTGCATATGAAATTGGTCCTTCCTCTGGTATAAATTATTTAGGTTCCTTTTTTTGCTGCAAGGGTGGGGAGTCCGTTGAGATTTGATATTTTCGGACAATGTTAAAGCTTTTTTAATATTTAAACAGCAATAAAAAATCGCATTTACGTAGAACTCGATGTTAGAAACTTTTTTAAAAGTTTTCTTATAGTTTTTTTTCGGATTACCATTCGTTGTTCAACTTTGTTTGGTGGGGTTAAAATAACAAAGGTAATGCCATTAAATATATGTGAAAGGACAACATTTGCTTAATTTTAAAATTGAATTTCAAGGAGATTTTTTCTAATGCAGTGGTTTTTATAGTATAATATTAGCCGCCCTGAGAGATTTTAAACTTTTAACATTAAAAACTTTGAAAATATCAAAATAAATAATTCAAAAAGTTTAAGACTGTTGAGTACTTTAAATAAATAAATTGGAAATAAGAACTTTATATTCACAAGGATTTTTTAAACAAAAAATATAATATTTCGGTTTTTTTGTCATTTAAATTGAATAAAATAAAAATGAAATTCTTAAGCTGGAACTTAAATTTGATTATATTTTTTGTTAGAATTCAAGCTTGTATTTTGCATTTGCCAACTAAAAATCACCTTGTGGGTTTCTTCCACTTCGAGGCACTTGCTTAGCATAAAGGAAAATACATATATTTTTCATTTCGTTTTCATGCTCCTGTTGAATAAGTTTTTCCCCATTTATTCACATTTCTTCCCTTTTCGCCATTTTCCTTTGTGTTTATTTGTGTTTTTCTTTGGCACCGGCAAACATTTATGGGTCAGTCAGTAAGCCGGAGAGTCAGTGAGTCATTCATTCAGTCAGTCAGTCATTTAGCCATTCAGTCAGGTATTCAGTCACCCAGTCCGTCGATTCAGTCATGCACAAAGGGCAGACTTTACGGCGCTTGGCGTCGCTTTTTTTAACCCACTGACTGCACTTGTTAACCCACGGGTGCACCATCCTTGCCTTTTCCCTTAACCCGCTCACTCACATATGCTGGCATTTTTAATGGCTGCAAGGACACGTATCTAGCTGGGTCTCCTTATGTGCCTGTGTGTGTGTGAGTGTGTGTTTGTTGATACAGTCACTGAATGTATTTGTTATGCAAATGGCGACGTTTGCAAACCATTTTCCCCTCCTCAATTTTGCACTTTTCATACCCTTTAGTTATGTGGTGAATGTGCGTTTTTTGTTTCTGTTTTATTCTCATCAAGATTAATGTGCGCAATTAGCCTTGCATGCGGTTTCTCCTCGAAATTACCCCTTTTCCAAGTTTTTCCTATTATTTATAGTTGAAATATAAGTCATTACGTGACTGGCTCTTTGTGAAAACTAAACTTAACATAGTTAATTTATAGTTCCTCACCGCGTTTCTCTAAATGCTCATCATATTTTTTTGAGTAATTTGCTTAATTTATTGCTTGCTTGCGTTTATAATTATAAGTTATTACCTAAGCCATGTGTCTTATAGTTAAGTGTGTATTTTTATTGTCTTAAAAAAGCGCTAAGAAAATTGTATTCTTTTTTGTTAAATATTTTAATATGTTATTTATTATGATCTACGGGTTATGTTATGTTAGGTAAGAAATGGAAAAGTAGAATACTAAAGACATTTCTGTAATCTTAAATTTCCCCTCCCCACATTATTGGGTATTTCACAATCGAATCTCTAATAAAAAACCTTCATTCTTTACATTTTCCGTTGAGTCGTCTACATGAGCTTCGGTGGCTCCGTGTATTGTGTTCCTTGCTCGGGGGACCGGACTGAATTGGTGGGTGTGGGATGGGTGGCTGTGGGCGTTGGGAGTTGGGATTGTCGCCTGTTGTTTGCCTTTAACTTGTTACATATTCCGGACAATGTATATCAGCAGTTTAGATTAAGTCTACGTGGCAATTCTGCCCCAGAATTTACCCACCCAGCATGGGTTAACATTCTTTTTTTTTAAACTTTGCATTTGCTTGATAAAATATATGCAAAATTATGCTAATTTCCCAAGGGTATTCGAATGCAGCGTGTTAAAAGTTTTGCGAATACTTTTTATTGCAATTTAACTCGTTTTTTTCTGTCCTTTATATGTGTTCCCATTTTCCATATTTTTTTTGGCCAGCCAATGATGAGTTTGAATAAGAACATGTGCAACTTTAATAAAATATTTTTCTGAATTTGGTTATATGAAAAACTTATTACGCAAAGGGAATTTTCACAATTTATTTGTGGAAATTTTTTTTTTTTTTTTTTTTAATTTAAATAAAAAAATTTTCCCTTAATATAAAAAATTAAACCTTTTTAACATTAGGAATTATTTTTTTCGGCTTCAATATCATAAAACTATAAGCCCTACTAATTAAACAAAAGAAGGCTCAGCAAAAAACTTGGTCGTAATTCAGGGTTTTATCTTTCAACTGTTGCCTAGCTGCCAAATAAAGAGGAGTTGCCTTGCAAGAAGAGAAGTTGCCTTGGAAAAAGAAAGTGAGAGAAAGCGAGGATAATAACGAGAAACTGGACGAATAATTTATCAAAGACCGCCGAGGTTGAGGCTATAACTTAGGCCAGCGTTAAAGCAGCCGACACTTCCTAAATGATTTCATTGTCGAAAAATAGTTTTTTTTTCCCTCTCTTTCTCCCCTTGAGCTGAACAATGGCGTAAAACCAGCGAAAATTTATGCTATTGTGCCAGGGAAATGGTGGGGAATACGATAAGGAGAAGGAAAATGGGCGAGCGAAAAGGGGGAGGAGAACAATTTTGGGGTAGGAAAAGGTGGAGTGTTGGCTTGTATCTCAACTTTCAGGCAACTGAATTGCTGGCAATTAGCAGCAACAATTTGCTGTTTGGCCTCAAGTTTCGCATTTCCCGTTTATTTCAGTTTGGCTCAGCGGGTGGGAAATCTCCGCCTCCGCCGTAAAGTAAAGTTTTTTCCGTCCAATTTGTACGGCCTTTGTTTTCCTTTAACGAATTTTATAATTTATCACGTGGATTTTTCCAGCCATGACATAATTAGGGAAACTATAAAAACTTTCACTGTCATTACTCGTTCTGCCTTTGTTGTTCTTTTTAATTGACTTTATAATTTCATAGAGCATCCTGTATCGATTATGAAAATTTTAATTTAATTGCTTTTCAATTTGATCCAATTACTTGGGTAATTGCAATCAATTTCCAGCGTCTTTTCAGGCCAAAAATAAACTAAAAGCAAATGTAATTGATATGGTGGGGAGGAAACCCATCAGTTTTTCTTCTAAATATTTCCTACATCTAAATAAATCCAAGTTTAAAGTAATATTTATACTAAGTTATTCACGTTTAAGCGCCACTTTAAACTCATAAATCATAAAAACTTGTCTAAGGTTTGTGCCACAACCTTCGTTAGCATTTTGATGAGAAGCTCATTTCCCTTGCACTTGAAACTTGGCCCAAAAAACCTCAGTTGATGGACAACGAACAAGCGGATAAAGTTTTTAAGATTTTCTATGAAAACTTTGCTGCAGCATGGACTAATTTGATTAGGTGCTAGCAAGAGGCAAGCGCCACAAAATATGCTAGAATGCAACACGACTAGGAAAAAGTTTTCGTCTCGCTTTTGGCGAAGAAAACTCATTTCTGGCCATGACTTTCCAATGCAACATGATTCAAGTTTGGTTGCTCATTTCCTAGAATTTATTTTTCATTTTTAGGCTAATTCAGGCTGAGTTCCTTTTTATGTACAATTTCTATTAGGAAGAGCAGCCTTGCAAACCGAATTATTAATGGCCAAACGTTGTGCCTTCAATTAGAATTCCAGCTGAAATGGCAGCTAGTGAAATGTGACTTACCCGCTGTACACAGACGCATGTCCTCATCATATCCGTCAGAGCAATCGGGTGCACCGTCGCATAAATATTGGATGGAAATGCAATTACCATCCCCGGGACACTTGAAGGGCTCGTATGGATGGCAGGCTTCTGCAAAACGAAAAATGAAAAAATATATGAAAATGTATTTCATTCGCTTGATTTGTAAAATCGTTGTAAAAATATTGTAAACCAACAGCTTAAAGCCATGGCAAATATTTGTAAACTTAACAGAGGAAGAAATCAGTAAAACAAACTATTGGCTTTCGTTTACATTGTTTAAGCGGATTTGCTTGCCATCAATTTAATTCATTTATTTATTTATTTTCTTTGTTTATTCTCGTGTTCTGATTTTGCAGACTTAGTTTAGTTCAATGGAATTTAAGGCTGTTGATGTTATTTATTTTTCTAGATTTTTAGTCATTAAATTGTTTTATTTCATGAAAGTCTAGTTAGTTTATCAATAAATAAAATTCCAATGATTGCTTTTCTAGTTTAAATTGTTTATTTTCATAAAATTAATTTTAAATTAAACTAATTAAATATAGAAAACATCTACACAAACCCAAATATATATATTCATTTATTTGTATAATGAGAATAATTTATTTGCTAAACTCATTTGTTTAATTTGTTGCAAGGACGAGTGAGTGTACTAGAGCTTTTTGGTCATCAATTAAGAGACTGCCTAATAAAACTATATATTTGAGCAATAGATTTTCTTTTAATTATTAAAAAACATAATAAAATTATATCCGCTAAATGCAAAACTAATTAAAGTCTACATTTTTCAATTTAATTTACAAACAAACAATGCTCTTAGAGAGAAACATAAAAACGGGGAAAAAATAATAAAAATATGACGAAAATGTTATCTGACAATTAAGCAAATTAATTTGCTTTCATGTTGTTTATTGTTTACATTTTCCCTCGCAATATTTTCGCTGTTCATAAAAAGGCGTTAAGGAAGCTTTCAGTTTAATGCGGGTGGGTGTCGGAATGTGAAGGAATGCCAAGGATAAGGGCATGATGATGTTTCCCCCATCAGAGTGAAACATCAGCCCCAAAAAAATAAGCAGCAGAACAAAAGCAGAGAGCCAAGTTAATTGAATTTATTGTTTCTGCTTGTGCCGAAACATATTTCATACAATATATTTCATTTTTTTTTTGTGAAGCTGAATTTGCAGGCTTATTTGTGTTTTTTTCTCTTTTTTCTGTATACATATCTTTTCGGGCGGAGGAAAATTGGTTTTTATTAGGCTGTGCACGTGGGAGTACAGTGTTTTTAAAAAAATAATTTTCATTTTCAACGGCTTGCAATTGTGGCTTAAATCCCAACCGCAAACAAAAACGTTGGCTCTTTGGCTTTTGTTTTATGGCTGCCACAAATAAGTTAAGCATTCAAATTTCAAATCATTTTGGCTGTGCAAAAACTTGAATTTCATTTTCTGCCAAAAGGAAATTTTCTTGCCGGCCAACTTCTGTCCCTGACACTTGACATATTTTTCTATTAAAGTTTGGCCAGAGTTTTCCTGCTTCCTCGTTTTTTTACGTCTATCTCTTTCGTTGGAAAGTTTTAGAGGAAAACCGAAAAAAAAAGTCACAAATGTTATAAGTAAGTTAAGTATGATTGAGGGAAATGTTGAATTATTTGTATACAGGCTTAAACTGTATTAAAGCCTTAATCGTGTCACCTTGGCAGTCATAAAGGTGAAAGAACTTAACGGGGGACATTGCACATATGCCTGTGGCACGCGCGAGACAAGTTAATTTCATGTGATTCATTATGTTTCGGTTAATGTCAAAACAATTGGAATTTATGTGCTCGGCAACACTAATTGACAGGCCGAGGGATCCAATAAGTCTCCTCATACCACCAGGGTGAAGTCCCCCAGAAAAATCAGTTCACTGGATATATTTCTGTGCGAAAAGTGTTTCGGTTTATTGTGCGTGTTGTGCTGTGTTGCTCAGATTGAAAAGGTCAAATGAGCCAAAGGGTTGGCCTGGCCTTTACCCGGTTTTTCCTGTCTCGGATTTTACCCGATTTTCCCTCGCTTTTTCTACCCTTTTGTCGTAGATGTCGAAGCTGGTCTTAACACTCGCACTTAAAGTTGGCTTTTATGTGACATAAAAAGGACAACTTTTGTACTTTGTTGTGGCATTGAAAGCGTTTGTTTTCCTCTTTATTTTGTTGTCGGTTTTAGTTTAGTCCTTTTCGTTTTATATGCCAATTGATTACCATTTGAATACTTTATTATTTTTAATGCCTTTTCGGTTTACGATTATACGTGATTGGTTGCCGGCGAAAGGATTGCCGAAATGTTTCTTGAATTATTTATTCAATTTGCGAACGGAAAGAGAGAGGATTTTAACTTTTACTTTTTTGTAGATGAAAGCCCTACAGGTTTATACTTTGTATTTTAGGATTTTTACTGTACTGCTTAAAGGGCTTTAAAGATTAATGTTTTAATCAAAGTCTGGTTACAAAATCATTTCAGTTCATTCAAGAGAATTTAACTTATACTTTGCAGATACCAAACTAAACTTAAAATGTTTCCCGAAAAGTATGCTATAAAAAGTTCTTCTTGCTTTCCCATACATATATAGAAGCACAGGCCAGCCTTATATTGACACTCACCAGACGACCGCAAAACAGACTGTGGTTTGCCGGGGCAGATATTAATTTTCAAAAATCAAGGAGGTGGGGCCAACGGCTCTGTCGTGTGTTGCACACATAATGAATGTTGCATAAATGTCATAAATATGAAGTCAGCACGCAGCACTCTTTTGCTCCCCATGGGTATCTCATATATGGGTTTTCTTCTCTGGCAAAAAAACCAAAAAAAAAAAAAAAATAATAAGCGTATACATGGCCAAGCAGAGTTAAATGAAGCGTAAAGCTTCTGGCCACACACACACCAGGACAATGTTCTTTCCGCCTGACAATGTCGAAAAAACCAAAATCTAGAAGCTCGTACAACATTTTGCTAAGCGCTGCACGTGACACCAAGAAATATTCTTACACTCGGCTTTTGTCGCTGTCCCCTTATGGAATAATCCTAACTCTGTGTACCCATCGCCCGTAAAAGAGTGTAATAACACTATGCAACAAAATTGGCACTTGCCGGTGCAGAGCTTGTGCTTTATGAGCAACTTTTGCTGAACTATGACTTCTTTCGGCTGACTTTTAAACGTATCAGGAAATAAATTTATTTGGTGATTAAAAGGTGAAGTTACTTCGTTAAGCTACTTAGTTTTTTATCCTTACTTATGTAAAAAAATTATATAAAATGTTGAAAAAATAGCTGATTAATAACTTAACTCGAATTATTTTTGATTAATTTAATAAGTAATATGATTATTTTCGCAAAAAAAAATGCCATCTAGTGTAATTCCATAACACTGACAGGCTGCCAGTGAACTGAATTTTAGTTTTCATGTGTCAATTTGCCAAGCGCCAGCAGCTTCAGTGCGGTGTTGTCACGCATGGCGTATGCGCAATGTACCACAGTTATTGCTCTTGGCTCGGGTTTGTTGTATCAGCTGCTCCTCTATAGTTACAATGCTGCCATGGCTATAGCTTCTATAGCCCATCCGCCTGCCAATTGCAGTTCACCTGACCTACGCAATTGCCTGGGCGTATCCCCGCCCGTTAAGGGGGTGGCTTCTCCTTATGGCCGATGGGCAATATCTGTCCAAACAGATGGGTAGTTGAAGCAGTCGAAGGGGCTGCGGGGTTAAGTGGTAACTTCAGCCTAAGTTTTGGCCTGACATCGATTCACTGACAGCTGCCAGCTTATAAGCAGTCGAGGCACAAAGTCGGTACAGTTATGACCAAGAGTTAACTTTAATGGTACGTAGAAGTTCTGAGAAGGTTTTTTGTGGGTTTCCTTTAATTGGGAGTTGCCTTTCATGGGTATCATTAAAATGTGTGATGTGTGTGTTGCCAGAGTTGTTTAATTGCAGGTCGTTGATATGAGGAAAGTGTGTGAAAATGGGAAAGTTTTGTCATTTAATAACTTAAAGGGTGTGAATTCCTCTTTAAAAAAAAAACTTAGCAAAGGTTACTGTGTAAAAATTATCTATAATACACCCTCAGTAATGTAAGATAGAACTTCCCGTAGCATATTTCAGAACTATTTCCTGACAACTTCATCCTTTAATTAAACCGTAATTATACCAGCAACCCCACGAAAACTCTTTGTACTCCATCAAGACATTGTGATACCCAACTTCCTTTGACCAACCCCTAGCTTTCTTCATACACAAAACATTTCTTGGCCATAATTAAGCTTTGCATATGCTAACCGCAGAGTGACTAACCAAAGTTTCCAGCCATAGTTGGCAGAACTAGGACCGCACAACACGACAGCATGTGGGTGAATAAACAAAAGGGAACGGCACAAAATGACGTATACGCAATATCAACTAAATAATTGCACACACACACACACACCCTTGGCCAACAGAACAGTGGCGCACTAATGAAAATTACTTTCCTTGGCTGTTGGCTGGGTGTTTGGTTTGTCGCTTTGTTGGGTGCAAAACCAGTTTGATTGCAATGGCAAAAACAATAGTTGGCCAACAGAAGCAAAAACTAATTGTTTTGCTTATAAATTAGCACATTTGTATGCAGTGCCACGCACACACACACTCACTCACACACCAAAACGGAACTCTGACGTAATTTATTAGTGCCACTATATACGTATATATCCCACCGATTCGTGGCCCTCGAGGACATGCATCTCCACGTCGTTTCGATTGTCTTGCCACAGTTACGGTTACGGCCACGTTTACGCTCCGGGCCAACGGAGTGTGAGATATGGCTCTGGTTTGGCATTATTGTCTGCGAATGTCTTCTGCCACGAATGGCAACTGAATATATATATCGAATGAATGAATGATGTATGTAGTTTGGGTGTTGGCGAACCCCTAGAAACCTAGAAGAATCAGTAAAACGAGAAAATCATTCAAATCCATAAACGGCAACAAATAACAAAAGTGTTGATAAACTGGTTAGTATGCACAGATAAATTTGTGTCTTTACGAAAGTTTTTTTGATATTTAAAGATATAACTAAATACATTTAGTAGTCAGGAAAAAATAAT